ATGCTGGGAGGCAGTTGAACAGTCTTGGGCCCCTGACACTTATTATGTTGTCTCTTAACGTGCTAGTGACACCCCTGCTTTTCATTGGGGGGATGTTGCATCGTCTGCCGAGTCTTTTGCTTTTGTAGTGAGTGATTTTCATGTGCAAGCTCGGTACTAGTCCCTCTAGGATTTTCCAGGTGTATATAATCACGTATCTCTCCCGCCAATTACAGTTTATAATTGGCAGCCTTAATGCATCTCTGATTCTTTGTTTGCTTAGTCAGCTCTAGACATCCATATGATTAAGTTAAAAAAATTAAATTGAATGATATTAGTTTCTCATTTACTACATTTTTTTAATTTTTGAAGATTTCAGAATATAATTTTTTTTATTTGCACTTGTACACCTTTATACATCCTTTTTCCTATTCTGTTTCTCACCATCCTCTCTACATAACCAAACGACCTCAACAACCCTGTCCTCAGCCCTCTGCCCCTCAAAGTTCCTTTATGTTTTGATCTAAGAAACTGGACCAGTGTTCTAATTCCTTGAATCAAGCCTGAATACCTTCCATTCCCTCAGGCACAGTGTGACCCATACAGGTTTAGTACTCTTCCCCTCCCCCAAATGAATGTAATAATAATAATACAGTGGAACCTCTACTTACGAGTTTAATCCATTCTATGACTTTGCTCGCAACTGGATTTGCTCGTTTGCAGAGTCAATTTTCCTCATTTAAATAAACTGAAATGCAATTAATCCGTTCCAGTGGAATTCTGTGCTTCAATAATTTCGCTAATATCAACTCTACGGCTTATTTATCTATCTCACTTCATCTAATATGACATATTAAACAATATAAATAACATTAAAATGGTATAAAATACAGACAGGTTGTTAGGTAAGACACATATGCAACAGTTAGGTATCTTTATTTCGAAACGTTTCGCCTATACAGTAGGCTTCTTCAGTCGAGTACAGAAAAGTTGTTAGACACTGCAACACAAGGGTATCTTGGTACAGACCTGCAATCAACTTCGACAACCTCTACCAGTGAGAATGGCTGGATTTGAGAGGAACCTGACCTCCCAACATCTGCGTTCTTACCTCTTCTAGTGACCTACGTCTCACCTCCTGGCGCTATATAAGGCTCCATCCTGTCACTTCCTCTCCATATTGTTTCATACTGTGGAACAATGCTCTTCTCCAGACTGAGGGACTGACCACCTCAAAACTTTAAGGGTGATGGACTGATTACATCGTCTTCAAGTATCTTCTGTTTTTAACAACTTTTCTGTACTCGACTGAAGAAGCCTACTGTGTAGGCGAAACGTTTCAAAATAAAGATACCTAACTGTTGCATATGTGTTTTACCTAACAATATAAATAACATAGAAACCTTATATATATACTCTAGAATGAATAAAATATGTCATTATATATGTGGCGGCGGCGGCTGACGAGTGTTTGTCTGGAGACATGACAAAATACTTCTTGAATATTTTGCTAATATTATCTATACGGCTTATTTATCTATCACAGTTCATCTAATATGACATAATAAACAATATAAATAACATAGAAACCTGATATATACTCTAGAATGAATAAAATATGTCATTATATATGTGGTGGCGGCGGCAGTGGCCGACGAGAGTTTGTCTGGAGACAGGACAAAATACCCCTTGAATATTTCGCTATCATCAATTCTATGGCTTATTTATCTATCACAGTTCATCTAATATGACATAACAAACAATGTAAATAACATAGAAACCCGATATATACTCTAGAATGAATAAAATATGTCATTATATACGTATATGGTGGCGGCAGCAGCCGACAAGAGTTTGTCTGGAGACAGGACAAAATACCCCTTGAATATTTCGCTATCATCAACTCTGCGGCTGATTTATCTATCACAGTTCATCTAATGTGAAATAATAAACAATATAAATAATACAGAAATCTGGTATATACTCTAGAATGAATAAAATATGCCATTATGTAACAGGTGGAGGCAGCCACACCCGCTCCCTCTATGTTGTGGTAAACACTGCCATCTACTGACGGCCTTTTGAAGCCATTTATTATTATAATTATTTCTATGTAGTACATTATTATTATATATGTATTATTATTATACATATTATATTATTATTATTATTATATTGTATTATTATTCTTATTGTATTATATTATTATATGTACTATTATTATTATACATATTGTTATACATATTATTATTATTATTATGATATAAATAATTTGTAATTTTTATTCACACAAAAAATATAAGATTTACTGTTATGCCTTATTGCAATAATTGTGTAAATAATGTCAACCCATTCATGACTGCATATTGTTTACTCTTGAACATAGCCAAAACAATAAAACATTTCTCTTGTGTTGAGCTCAATTTCAAGGTACTTTTCATCGTGAAAGCAATCAAAATCATATCTATTTCTGTAGTATATCTTCCATTCTATCAAATGAGACCAAAAAAAACGAGAATACAACCATACAAACCATACAAAAATACTGCTTAGGGGTGGCTAATTGCTGAGAAGTGAACTCCATTATTTATGCTTAGATTTCTTTTATTTTTGGTGTATGTTAAGAAGCATCTTTCCATCATACATTGCCCAAGTTTCAATAAGATAGTCCAACAAACAAATGAGATACAATTCCCTAGATCAAAAGCAAGAGCCCCTCACCAGCTTCAAGTCACCTGCTTTGAGGTCTGCACACTTATGGAAATTTTGCTCGTGTATGGAAACAAAAAAAATTGACCCATCGACTGCTTGTATTTGGAAAAACTCGCACGTGGATGTGCTAGCAAGTAGAGGTTCCACTGTACTCCGCCCTCTGAATTATACCCTTAATGACCCTTCATTGCCTTTTAATTTCACTACTGCATATTTTAAATACACATTGCTTTCAAACATACCTGCCCTGCCTCCACCCTCCCTTCTTGCTGCAACACTCAAAACCGATGGTACACACTTGTGTAGTGTTTGTACCATTACAATCTGGTTTATCACTTAATTTTATTATTTATTATTATTGTTATATGGCTCACTTCATCTTTCATAGACCCATTTTCTGATATGTCCACTTCTAAATATTTAAATGCATCCACTTCCTCCATACTCACTTACTCCACTCTGATATTCAGTCTATTATAGTCCTGTCTTTTTGTTACCCTTATCACCTTACTTTTTTCTGTTTACTTTTAACTTCCTACTTTTACGTTTTTTTTTTTTCAACAAGTCGGCCATCTCCCACTGAGGCAGGATGACCCAGAAAGAAAGAAAATCCCCAAATAGAAAATACTTTCATCATCATTCAGCACTTTCACCTCACTCACACATAATCACTGTCTTCGCAGAGGCACCCAGATACAACAGTTTAGAAGCATGTACAGTGGACCCCCGGTTTACGATATTATTTCATTCCAGAAGTAGGTTCAGGTGCCAGTACTGAACGAATTTGTTCCCATAAGGAATATTGTGAAGTAGATTAGTCCATTTCAGATCCCCAAACATACAAGTACAAACGCACTTACATAAATACACTTACATAATTGGTCGCATTGGGAGCTGATCGTAAAGCGGGGGTCCACTGTATAAAAATATATAACATAACCCTCCAAACTGCCAGTATCCCAAACCCCTCCTTTAAAGTGTAGGCATTGTACTTCCCATTTCCAGTACTCAAGTCCGGCTATATAAAAATAACCGGTTTCCCTGAATCCCTTCACTAAATATTACTCTGCTCACACTCCAACAGCTCGTCAGGTCCCAAAAACCATTCACCTCCATTCACTCCCATCTAACACACTCACCCATGTTTGCTGGAAGTCCAAGCCCCTACCCACAAAACCTCCTTTACCCCCTCCCTCCAACCTTTTTGAGGATAACCCCTGCCCCACCTTCCTTCCCTTACAGATTTATACACTCTCCAAGTCATTCTACTTCGATCCATTCTCTCTAAATGACCAAACCACCTCAACAGCTGCTCTCCAGCCCTCTGACTAATACTTTTAGTAAGTCGTTCTCTCTATTATACAGTGGGATTACCGCCGCCCGGTTCAGTTAGGGCCATGGTTAGTCCTCTCATACCTGCCACCATCCAAATGAGAACTTTCACTACATGAGTTAAGGGGGTTTCCTCTGCATGAGGAAATTCTCTTCATAATATTTACACCACACATTGCCCTTAGACAGGACATCTCCACTGCCTCCAGCCGACTCCTTGCTGCAGCATTTGCAACCCAAGCTTCACACCCATATAAGAGTGTTGGTGCCACTATACTTTCGTACATTTCCTTCTTTGCCTCCATGGATAATGTTTTTTGTCTCCACAGATAGCTCAACGCACCACTCACCTTTTTTCTTTCATCAGTTCTATGGTTAACCTCATCCTTCATAAACCCATCTGCTAATAAGTCAACTCCCAAATATCTGAAAACATTCACTTCTTCCATACTCCCTCTCTCCAATGTGATATCCAATTTTTCTCTATCTAAATCATTTGATACCCTCATCACCTTACTCTTATCTGTGTTCACTTTCAACTTTCTACCTTTACACACCCTCCCAAATTCACCCATTGCCTGTTGAAATTTGTCTTCAAAATCTCCCAAAAGAACTTTCATCAGCAATGAGCAGCTGAGACAGCTACCACTCTGTATCAGATCAAACATCTTTTAATCCCACACCGCTTCCCAACACACTAGCATTCATTTCTTTTACAGCCCCATTTATAAATATGTTAATCAGGATGATATCATACATTCCTGTCTAGTTCCTAATTTCACTGGAAAACAGTCTTGCTTCCTTCTACATACCCTAACCAATTCTCACTATCTGCATAAAAACTCTTAACTGTGTTTAGTAAGTTACCTACTATTCAGTACATTTGCAACATCTGCCACATGGCTACCCTATCAACCCTGTCACAAATGTATAATTTAATATTTTGTGCATTAATATTTTATTTTTTCTATTGGCAGGTCATCAACGAAAAAGAGCATGAGTGAAATAATATGACTAAGAGAGAGAGGTGACCACTTAAAAGTGCATGCTACACTATAAACACTAATACCAAATTTAGTTGTGAGGTCATTTCCAGGTATGTCATAATTGACACACTTAATTTATAAACATGCTGTCTAAATATACAGATCATCAATTATCTAGCACTGAGATAGGGTGTATCAAGATTTTCAAAAACACTAAATAATAGCATCATTTTTATGGTAATTTTTGTTGCCAAATTACTTTTTTGCATTATCCATTAAGGTATTATGTGCAAACAAGATGATCAGATAATGTTGAAGGCTGAATAACTGAATACCAAATAAACGATGATCTGGACTGAATCTTCTAGAATAATGTAGTATGATTATTCAGTAATTGTAACAAATTAGAGAACATGTCACTTGCAGCACTATTCATGTGCACCACTGCAGTGTTGGCAGTCTGATTGATAAATTACCATAATAGTGTAATTATACTAAAATGTTTTACAAAGGAATGACTGTTTTGGGATATGGTATTTCAATATCAGCTGAGATAGAGTAATCATGGTGAAAATGGCTTCATAATTTTTTATTAAATGTTTCATTTGTTATGAGTTAACTTGCCATAAGTTAACTGATCATTTGAAATTGTTAATGGTCATGAAAATTTTCAGATTACCTGTCATGATGACTGGAGCCTTCAGTGAACAAGGAATCAGATACTGAATTTGAACCAATAAGTATTTCTTGGAACTATATACTCTGCAGTCTGGTGTCTTACAAGTAACATGCAATATATGCTTCTTATTGGTTTCTACACCATGGAATTTACAGGAAAAGGCCTGTTATTCTACCTCGCCTTATATGAAAGCTCAGCCCTATGTAAAGTATGCTATCACTCACCACTGTGCAACCCACAACAATCAGCTAACACCTATGATACTCACTTAGTGCTATGTAAATAGGGACAACAGTCGTAAGAAGACTTGACCGTATTTCTCCCTGAACTCTAAAATTGAATCAAGGTCCTTCGGTTGTGAGCCATTAAATCATAAATCACCTGTCTTTACTTGGTTACATTTCACTTTAGTAATTTTAAATGCTTAACTTATCTGCAGTGGATACTTTCATTAATGAAAACATTTTTGCCCACACACTGGACTTTTATCAAATCAGTAGAAAATACACAAGAAAAAGGAATACATGTACAGGTACAGAAATAGGAAAATGAGGTGTATGGGAGTGTAGGGGTGCACTGCAGGGTTTACACTGGACTGTTTCATTGGCTCTCAAAAACTTGCCAGCATAGTGTAAAGTAAGTGTTTAGCTCACAAAAAACTACCCTGGTACTGTCTAATAGTGTTATTATTATTATAATCATGGGGGAGCACTAAACCCATAGGGATTATACAGTGCCTATGGGAAGAGGGGGAAATAGAAGGTATTCTGACTCAATTCTGGGAACTGGAGCACAGATCCAATTCCCTACATCAAGAGCCCCTCACCAGCATCAAGGAACCTTCCCTGAGGGGTCTAATAGTGTTAAAAGTGCTGATAATGGCAGATTATAAATATCTATCTTTGTCTCATTCTTTGATGATTAGTTAAGTACCTGTCCATTTCAGGACATGACTGTCATGTTTCGATGTATAAGACATGCACTGTTTGTGCTATGCATTCTACATGCATACTGGTTTTCTTTGACCCATGTGACAGTGTCCCATGAAGTACGCCTATGTAATGTTTCCAGTGGTACAGCCACAGGGAATAGGGATTATTTATTTAACCCTTTGAGTACCAATCGCTTAGATCTATGTTACTGATGCCAAGGTCCCTCACATGGATCTACATTTTGAACAAAGCTCCCTCAGGTAAGCTATGCGTGTTAAATTTTGGCCTAGATATGAGAGAATGGGTCTGTGCAGTGTAAAAAAAACATACTGCCCAGGAGCTCGGACTCGACCCCCGCAACCTCAACTAGGTGAGTACATTGTATGATATGAAAAGCAAAACTCTGACCTTGTCCTTGGTTTAAAATAGTGATTTTGAGGCTTTTTCTTGGATGGTTTTTATGGTTTTATTGTGTGTTTCATGGTATCATTCAATAGAATGGAAGACATACTACTAAAATAGAGATAATTTTGGCTGATTTCAGGACCAGATGCTTGAAACTGGAATCAAAGTAGTGGAAATACAGGTTGGCCATCACTAATCCAGAAATCGGTAATCTGGTTCCATCAGTAATCCGGCAGTAATTTTGGCTAGCATAATTTCAAATTTCAATCTGCCAGTATTGTTTGGTAGTGCTACTTGTTGCATAAGTATTCCAATTTCTCTTTCTCCATTTATTGTTATAACCTGTTCAATTTTAGCCCTAGCCATTGTTCCAATGAATAAAAGAAATGCTTCTCGCTGTGTAAAGCATATACACTATACATTGTCCATAAAAGATAAGGTGACTTTGAAGCCACTGTTGGTTGCTATGAGCTCAGCTCACAAAGATAAGCTATGACCGGTAAATTTGGGCCTACATATGAGAGAATAGGTTTATGTGGTAAGTGTGCACTATATAAAAAAAATCCTGCAGCATGCAGTGCATAAGAAATAAAAAGACGACTGCTTTTGGTGTAAAACAACAACTTTGCAGTGTATTTTCATATGGGTTCTATGGTTGTAGTCTCATTTTTTTGGTCTCATTTGATAGGATGGAAGATATATTACAGAAATACTGTAGATATAATTTTTGATTTGTTTCGTGCTGGAAAATATCTTAAAATTGAGCTCAAAGTAGCAGAAATGTTCGATTTTTGCTGATGTTCAAGAGTAAACAAATGACATCACCATCCAATAAGTATCCAACTGGCTGGTGTAATACGCAGTCATGAATGCGTTGACATTATTTATACAACTATTAAAATAATGCAGTAGTCTGCATAACAGTAAATCTTCTATTTTTCGTGTGAATAAAAATTCAAAATGGAAAGCAAGCATAATATAGAGAGACCTGGAGACATGACTAATGAACAGAGAAAATGTTATTTTAGTGCCAGGAATGTCTGCATTGTTTATTCTGGACCCTATTTTGAAATTGGCAAATGGGCACTTTCTTGTACTCAACAGAATAGAAGGAATACTAGCATAATAGTTATTAGGTAGACTGGAACAATGGAATGGGCTAAAAATTGGGCTAAGTGTATTCTAACCTAACCATTCTGTAATCCGGCAAATTCACTAATTCGGCACCATACAGATCCTGATCATGCCAGATTAGTGATGGTCAACCTGTACTAGATTTTTGCCATTTTTCCATGACAACAGGTAAGGCCCCACCTACACCCCTCTGTTTGATTTATGGATTTTCAGTATGATTCAATTATTGGGATGCTGTAAACTATGACCAATCAATCCTGGTTACTTTTATTATCCAAGAAATTGGATAAATCTTTGAATTTTTTGTGTGATTAAGAATTCAAAATGAGAGGAAAGTGTAATATAGGAGAGGTCTGGGAATGTAATTAATGAACAGAGGAAGTGTTGTTTTAGTGCCTGTAATGTCTACACATAATCACTGTTTTTGCAGAGGTGCTCAGAACACAACAGCTTAGAAGCATATACGTATAAAGATACACAACATATCCCTCCAAACCGTCAACATCCCGAACCCCTCCTTTAGAGTGAAAGGCATTGTACTTCCCATTTCCAGGACTCGAGTCCGGCTATATAAAAATAACCGGTTTCCCTGAATCCCTTCACTACATATTACCCTGCTCACACTCCAACAGATCGTCAGGTCCCAAATACCATTCGTCTCCATTCACTCCTATCGAACACGCTCACACATGCCTGCTGGAAGTCCAAGCCCCTCTCCAACAAAACATCCCTTACCCCTTCTTTCCAACCTTTTTGAGGACGACCCCTACCCCGCCTTCCTTCCCCTACAGATTTAAATGCTCTCCATGTCATTCTACTTTGATCCATTCTCTCTAAATGACCAAAAAACCTCAACAACCCCTCTTCAGCCCTCTGACTAATACTTTTGTAGATGAATGGTTAGGAGAACCGACATGTTGATAAATTAGACACATGTGCAACTCTTGGGTATCTTTATTGAGGAAACGTTTCGCCACACAGTGGCTTCATCAGTCCATACAAAGGAGAATCTTGAAGAACAGGAGGAGAATGAGGTAATCAGTCCCTCAACCTTGAGTCGATGTGGTCAGTCCATCAATCTTGAATAGAATGAAAGATTGATGGACTGACCACATCGACTCAAGGTTGAGGGACTGATTACCTCATTCTCCTCCTGTTCTTCAAGATTCTCCTTTGTATGGACTGATGAAGCCACTGTGTGGCGAAACGTTTCCTCAATAAAGATACCCAAGAGTTGCACATGTGTCTAATTTATCGACTAATACTTTTATTAACTCCACACCTTCTCCTAATTTCCACACTCCAAATTTTCTGCATAATGTTTACACCACACATTGCCCTTAGACAGGACATCTCCACTGCCTCCAACCGCCTCCTCGCTGCTGCATTCACAACTCAAGCCTCACACCCATATAAGAGTGTTGGTACTACTATACTTTCATACATTCCCTTCTTTGCCTTTATAGATAATGTTTTTTGTCTCCACATATACCTCAATGCACCACTCGCCTTTTTTCCCTCATCAATTCTATGATTAACCTCATCCTTCATAAATCCATCCGCCAACACGTCAACTCCCAAGTATCTGAAAACATTCATTTCTTCCATACTCCTCCTCCCCAATTTGATATCCAATTTTTTTTTATCTAAATCATTTGATACCCTCATCACCTTACTCTTTTCCATGTTCACTTTCAACTTTCTACCTTTACACACACTCCCAAACTAGTCCACTAACCTTTGTAATTTTTCTGTAGAATATCCCATAAGCACAGTATCATCAGCAAAAAGCAACTGTGTCAATTCCCATTTTGTATTTGATTCCCCATAATTTAATCCCACCCCTCTCTCGAACACCTTAGCATTTACTTCTTTTAAAACTCCATCTATAAATATATTAAACAACCATGGTGACATTACACATCCCTGTCTAAGACCTACTTTTACTGGGAAGTAGTCTCCCTCTCTTCTACACACCCTAATCTGAGCCTCACTATCCTCATAAAAACTCTCTAACAGCATTTAGTAACTTACCACCTATTCCATATAAGTACTTGCAACATCTGCCACATTGCTCCCCTATCCACTCTATCATATGCCTTTTCTAAATCCATAAATGGAATAAAAACTTCCCTACCTTTATCTAAATACTGTTCACATATATGCTTCAATGTAAACACTTGATCTACACATCCCCTACCCACTCTAAAACCTCCTTGCTCATCCACAATCCTACATTCTGTCTTACCTCTAATTCTTTCAATTATAACCCTACCATACACTTTTCCTGGTATACTCAGTAAACTTATTCCTCTATAATTTTTACAATCTCTTTTGTCCCCCTTCCCTTTATATAAAGGGACTATACATGCTCTCTGCCAATCTCTAGGTACCTTCCCCTCTTTCATACATTTGTTAAACAAAAATACCAACCACTCCAACACTATATCCCCCCTACTTTTAACATTTCTGTCATGATCCCGTCAGTTCCAGCTGCTTTACCCCCTTTCATTCTACGTAATGCCTCATGCACCTCCCCCACACTCACATCCTGTTCTTTTTCACTCCTAAAAGATGGTATACCTCCCTGTCCAGTGCATGAAATTACCGCCATCTACCCAAAACCTCCCTCTCCCCATCTACTAACTCCCCTACTCTGTTTTTAACTGACAAATCGATTTGTTCCCTAGGCTTTCTTAACTTGTTTAACTCCAAAATTTTTTCTTATTTTCCTTAAAATTTCTTGACAGTGCCTCTCCCACTCTATCATCTGCTCTCCTTTTGCACTCTCTCACCACTCTCTTCACCTTTCTTTTACTCTCCATATACTCTACTCTTCTTATAACACTTCTGCTTTGTAAAAACCTCTCATAAGCTAACTTTTTCTCTTTTATCACAACCTTAACTTCATCATTCCACCAATCACTCCTCTTTCCTCCTGCACCCACCCTCCTATAACCACAAACTTCTGCCCCACATTCTAATACGCATTTTTAAAACTATTCCAACCCTCTTCAACGCCCCCACTGCTCATATTTGCACCAGTCCACCTTTCTGCCAATAGTTGCTTATATCTCACCCGAACTTCCTCCTCCCTTAGTTTATACACTCTCACCTCTCTCTTACTTGTTGTTGCCATTTTCCTCTTTTCCCATCTACCTCTTATTCTAACTGTAGCTACAACTAAATAATGATCCGATATGTCAGTTGCCCCTCTATAAACGTGTACATCCTGGAGCCTACCCATCAACCTTTCATCCACCAATATCTGTGCTCCAGTTCCCCGAATTAAGCCTGAATGCCTTCCACATCCCCCCCCCCAGGCGCTGTATAATCCTCCGGGTTTAGCGCTTCCCCCTTGATTATAATAATAATAATAATCATCCACCAATACATAATCTAACAAACTACACCTACCATCCGACTTACGACCTGCTCGACTTACGACCACTCGACTTACGACCGTGTTTTTTTTTGCCAAATTTCTGGGAAATAAACAACTATTTGTGTTGTACACAGTGTTTATCCTAAACCTTACAGTATGAAATACAGTACTAACAGCATAAAAGTAAAGTAAAACATGAAATACCAAAATAAAACAATAAAATAGTCATTACAAAAATGTGATGTTGATATTCAGTAGTAAAGTTCGACTTACATCCATTTCGACTTACGACCGGTTTCTCGGAACCGAACTCGGTCGTAAGTCGGATGATAGGTGTACTTTCATTACGTGCTATATCATACCTTGTATATTTATTTATCCTCTTCTTCATAAAATATGTATTACTTATTACTAAACCTCATTCTTCACATAGCTCAATTAAAGGCTCCCCATTTTCATTTACCCCTGGCACCCCAAATTTACCTACTACTCCCTCCAAAACATTTTTGCCCACTTTAGCACTGAAATCCCCAACCACCATTACTCTCACACTTGGTTCAAAACTCCCCACGCATTCACTCAATATTTCCCAAAATCTCTCTCTCCTCTACACTTCTCTCTTCTCCAGGTGGATATATGCTTACTATAACCCACTTTTCACATCCAACCTTTATTTTACTCCACATAATCCTTGAATTAATACATTTATAGTCCCTCTTTTCCTGTCATACCTGGAGTTTACCTGGAGAGAGTTCCGGGGGTCAACGCCCCCGCGGCCCGGTCTGTGACCAGGCCTCCTTAGGTCAGTGTCCCAGGATGTGACCCACACCAGTCGACTAACACCCAGGTACCCATTTTACTGATGGGGAACATAGACAACAGGTGGAAAGAAACACGTCCAATGTTTCTACTCTGGCTGGGAATCGAACCCAGGCCCTCGCCGTGTGAAGCGAGAGCGTTAACCACCAGGCCACCAGAGCCACAGTCATAACTTATCTTTCAACATTATTGCTACTCCTTCTTTAGCTGTAACTCTATTTGAAACCCCTGACCTAATCCCATTTATTCCTCTCCACTGAAACTCTCCTACCCCCTTCATCTTTGTTTCACTTAAAGCCAGGACATCCAGCTTCTTCTCATTCATAACATCCATAAACATCTCTTTCTTATCATTTGCACAACATCCACGCACATTCAGACTTCCCATTTTGACAATTTTCTTATTATTCTTTTTAGTAATTATTACAGGAAAAGGGGTAACTAGCCCATTGTTCCCGGCATTTTAGTTGACTTTTACAATACGCATGGCTTACGGAGGAAAGATTCTTATTCCACTTCCCCATGGATATAAAAGGAAAAGTAATAAGACCAAGAACTATTAAGATAAAATCAAAGAAAGCTCAGATGAGTGTGTATAAATAAACATGTACATGTATGTGTATATAGTTTTGGAGTGGTTGGTGCAATTATTTAATAAATGTATGGAAGAGGGTAAGGTACCTAGGGATTGGCAGAGAGCATGCATAGTTCCTTTGTATAAAGGCAAAGGGGACAAAAGAGAGTGCAAAAATTATAGGGGGATAAGTCTGTTGAGTATACCTGGTAAAGTGTATGGTAGAGTTATTATTGAAAGAATTAAAAGTAAGACCGAGAATAGGATAGCAGATGAACAAGGAGGCTTTAGGAAAGGTAGGGGGTGTGTGGACCAGGTGTTTACAGTGAAACATATAAGTGAACAGTATTTAGATAAGGCTAAAGAGGTCTTTGTGGCATTTATGGTTTTGGAAAAGGCGTATGACAGGGTGGATAGGGGGCAATGTGGCAGATTTGCAGGTGAAATGGTGAAAGGAGTAGGTTACTGAAAGCAGTGAAGAGTTTTACGGGGATAGTGAGGCTCAAGTTAGAGTACATGGGAAAAGAGGGAAATTATTTCCCAGTAAAGTAGGCCTTAGAAAAGGATGTGTGATGTCACCGTGTTTGTTTAATATATTTATAGATGGGGGTTGAAGTAAATGCGAGGGTCTGACAAGAGGCGTGGAGTTAAAAGATAAGGAAATCACACATAAAGGGGGAGTTGTCACAGTTGCTCTTTGCTGATGACACGTGCTCTTGGGAGATTCTGAAGAGAAGTTGCAGAGATTGGTGGATGAATTTGGTAGGGTGTGCAAAAAAGAAAAATTAAAAGTGAATACGGGAAAGAGTAAGGTTATGAGGATAACAAAAATATTAGGTGATGAAAGTTTGGATATCAGATTGGAGGGAGAGAGTATGGAGGAGGTAATGATTCCCAGATATTTGGGAGTGGACGTGTCAGCGGATGGGTCTATGAAGGATGAGGGGAAAAGGGTGAGTGGTGCACTTAGGAGTCTGTGGAGACAAAGAACTTTGTCCTTGGAGGCAAAGAGGGGAATGTATGAGAGTATAGTTTTACCAACACACTTATATGGGTGTGAAGCATGGGTGATGAATGTTGCAGCGAGGAGAAGGCTGGAGGCAGTGGAGATGTCATGTCTGAGGGCAATGTGTGGTCTGAATACAGTGGACCCCCGGTTAACGAACTTTTTTCATTCCAGTAGTATGTTCAGGTGCCAGTACTGACCGAATTTTTTCCCATAAGGAATATTGTGAAGTAGATTAGTCCATTTCAGACCCCCAAACATACACGTACAAACGCACTTACATAAATACACTTACATAATTGGTCGCATTTTGAGGTGATCGTTAAGCGGGGGTCCACTGTATAATGCAGAGAACTCGTAGTTTGGAAGTTAGGAGGAGGTGCGGGATTACCAAAACTGTTGTCCAGAGGGCTGAGGAAGGGTTATTGAGGTGGTTTGGACATGTAGAGAGAATGGAGCGAAACAGAATGACTTCAAGAGTGTATTAGTCTGTAGTGGAAGGAAGGCGGGGTAGGGGTCGGCCTAGGAAAGGTTGGAGGGAGGGGGTAAAGGAGGTTTTGTGTGCGAGGGGCTTGGACTTCCAGCAGGCGTGCGTGAGCGTGTTTGATAGGAGTGAATGGAGACAAATGGTTTTTAATACTTGACGTGCTGTTGGAGTGTGAGCAAAGTAACATTTATGAAGGGGTTCAGGGAAACCGGCAGGCCGGACTTGAGTCCTGGAGATGGGAAGTACAGTGCCTGCACTCTGAAGGAGGGGTGTTAATGTTGCAGTTTAAAAACTGTAGTGTAAAGCACCCTTCTGGCAAGACGCTGTATAATCCTACGGGTTTAGCGCTTCCCCCTTGATTATAATAATAATAATAATTCTGGCAAGACAGTGATGGAGTGAATGATCGTGAAAGTTTTTCTTTTTTCGGGCCACCCTGCCTTGGTGGGAATCAGCCAGTGTAATAAAATAATAAAAACAATGTTAACAACTTGTACATAATTTATTATTAGGCAAAAATTATTTTCTGTAAGGGTTAAGAACAGTCATCTCCTGAAACATCTTACTAAAAGGTCAAAAGATAATCAATGTAAGATTTTCTTTATAATTTTCATAAGTCAATGATGATCTGTCAACAGTTCAAGATTCTATATGGATGACAAAGCTCTTGATATGAAAAAAATAAAAACTGCCCAATACAAGTCCTTGGTACAAACTTTATTACTGGAAAGAAATTTCACATTTTTAAATATGCAGGTTTCCTTCACTTCATGCACATCCACTATTATGTGGTGTCATATTTCTATCAGTAACAACATATGCAATATACATTTGCAGTGTGTATGTTTTATGCAAGATGTATTGACGATTCTTATGCAGAATTAAATGCTGATGACCTGATTGAGCTCGGTACAGCTGCCACGAGCCTAGAATGGATCTACTGCTTAAAGTTAGGGACACCTGTATGTTATTTATTATTCCTCATATAAATTACTAATATTATATACATAAATTTTTAAGATATTTATTAATACCATTTTATTAGTACAAGTACTGTAAAAGCAGTAAAACAGCTCGATACATGATTTTTCATATTTTCCAGCTTGTAATAAGCAATGTTAAAAAACACATTTGCAGTCTATGCAGTCATAAATGAAAGTTTTGCGTTATAGAAGTTAATTTACAAGGACAATCGTCATTTCAGCCTCTGAACTATAATAATTTTTACAGATACTGCAAACAATAACTTCATGGTAATATGGTACAGTACTTGCTATACTCATAGTTTCATTACAGTGCCACCTGGAAAGTTGGCAGTTTGCACACACACTATGAGCATAATGCATGCTCTATAAATCACACTTCTCTTTACATGAAAATTGGTAGCTTACAGACAATCAGTGATCCCAATGTACATTCCACAAATCACTCTCCTCTTAATGTAAGAAAAATCATACTACATACAAAAAACACTATTACAAGTCCTTTAGGTTTCACAGGATTGTCAGGAGTCTCATAGAAAGATAAAATAAAAGAGCAATACTAGCTATTATGTTCCTTTCACATAAGGTATGTATAGACATTTTTCCGCTTGAAAAAGTAACAAAGAAATGTGATTAGTGATAAGATATCAATAAATTCAGTAGCACACACACTTCTAATGCTTTCACAATAAGAGCACATAAACTCATCTGCACAGAATACAGTATATCAAAATATTAAGATTAATTTACAACTTTTTATTAATGGACATTAACAAATCAAACACACTTTGAACCATCTTCAATAGTTTTAAAACTGTTCAGTTGATAAAATGACAAATAACAGTTCAAAAAAATAACTAAAACTAAATCCATCCATATTGTCTTAAGAGTTTCACACGATTTTTATCAGTCATCCATCAACTGCAATTCCAATATTTCATTTGTACAGCTTTATGAACAAAATCTTAACTTCCCCTCTCTAGTGAATATATTACAACATTTAAACAAAAGTAAATATCGTGATAATACCAGTGTTTGTGGTTACTACTATACTGGCGTCACATTTTCTTAATACGAATCCCTACTAAAATTACGATATACGGAAAAAAAAAAACTAAATCCCTATTCCCTCTCTCCTATTTAAATCAAATCAATTTTTTATTAAATCAATTTCTGTAGGCATTATGCTATTCCTAATCACTTACAATCCTATGTATTCCTCCCCAAATTACTCAAAGTTTAAATTTATGAAATTTAACCATTCTTTCCCACTTTAACCTTACAGTTCATCCTTATCCAGTAAAGTATATCTGTTCTTAGATGGTGCAAGCTTTTTGAAGGTTGACTCTGGTGGCGTGGTGGGCTTTTCTTTCTTTACATCTGCCTGGGTAGTTCGAGACTTGTCTTCAATCTGAGATAAAAGGCACAGAATACTGATTAATAAGGTCAATACAGTATTTGTGGTTTTTAATTGTTTGTAATCTGTATAAAATCCAGGAATAATAGTGAAATTTGCCAGAAATACTGTACAACATAAAAAAGGGAGTCGAGAAGTAAAGTTTCTACACTCTGAAAGGAGGGATGTAGATGTTTCACTTCAGAGGATCATTCAGCTTGCAATGTTGGCACACTTACGGCAAAACAGAAACTGAATGAATGATAAAGGAATTTCCCTTTTTGATTCACCCTACCTCAGTGGGAGACCTCCACCATTTAAAAAATACACAGAATGGAGAGATTTTTCAATGAAAATTTTAATATACAATAATAATAATATTAAAAGCAGGGGGGATATAGTGTTGGAGTGGTTGGTATTTTTGTTTAATAAATGTATGAAAGAGGGGAAGGTACCTAGAGATTGGCAGAGAGCGTGTCTAGTTCCTTTATATAAAGGGAAGGGGGACAAAAGAGATTGTAAAAATTATAGGGGGATAAATTTACTGAGTATACCAGGAAAAGTGTATGGTAGGGTTATTATTGAAAGAATTAGAGGTAAGACAGAGAGCAGTTGACTTGTCAGTGGATGGGTTTACGAAGGACGAGTTAACCATGGAACTGATGAAGAAAAAAAGGCAGGTAGTGCACTGAGGTATCTGTGGTTGGACATCACTGCTGCTGGAGGCAGTGGAGTTGTCCTGTCTAAGGGCAATGTGTGGTGTAAATATTATGCAGAGGATTCGTAGTGTAGAAATTAGGTGTGTGGAATTACTAAAAGTATTAGTCAGAGGGCTGAAGAGAGGTTGGTGAGATGGTTTGGTCATTTTGAGAGAATGGAACAAAGTAGAATGACTTGGAGAGCATATAAATCTGTAGGGGAGGGGGTAAGGAGGTTTTGTGGGCAAGGGGCTTGGACTTCCAGCAAGCGTGCGTGAGTGTGTTAGGAGTGAATGGAGACAAATGGTTTTTGAGACCAGACAAGCTGTTGGAGTATGAGCAGGGTAATATTTCGTGAAGGGATTTAGTTAAACCGGTTAGCCGGACTTGTGTCCTGGAAATGGGAAGTACAATGCCTGCACTTTAACCCTTTGAGGGTCGACAGGCCTTCTCCGAAACTCGTTCTCAGGGTCGGCCAAATTTAAAAAAAAAAAAAATTATTTTCTCTTATGAAAAGATAGAGAATCTTTTCCCGATCATAAGGACACCAAAAGTTTGAAATTTGATGGAAAACTTACGGAATTATGCTCTCGCAAGGTTAGCGGTCTCGGCGATGTTTACGCATCGGCGATTTTGCCCACTTTGAGCCCCATTTTCGGCCAATTCCACTGTACTAGTCAACAAAAAACATGAATATTTCGCTAGAACTCCATTTTTTCTATCGAATGGGTGCAAGAAACACCCATTTATGAAATTCAACTATCCAGTACAGTGGTCAGAATTTAGCAATTTTGCCAATTTCACACGAATTTCAAAAGATGCCAATTTCCAAATAGGGTCCAGAATAAACAAGAAAGACATTTCCTCTGGTCATTAGTCACGTCTCAAGGCCCCTTTTATATTCTTTTGCTTTCCACTTTGAATTTTTATTCTCACAAAAAATATAAGATTTACTGTTATGCAGACTACTGCATTAGTGTAAAAAATGATATAAATATTATTGGTGCACTTGTGAAAGAATATTAGACTCACCAGTTGACGTGTATTGCACGCTTGGCACGATTTGTTTACTTTTGAAATTTGGTAAAAATCCAACATTTCTGCTTCTTTGAGCTCAATTTCAAGGCACCTTTCATTGTAAAACCAGTCAAAATCATCTCAATTTCTGTAATATGTCTTCCATTCTATAAAATGAGACCAAGAAAACTAGAATACAACAATACCATACAAAAATACAGTGCAAAGTTGCTGTTTTATTCCAAAAAAATGGTCAAAGTTTTTTTTTTTCTCATTATGCACTGTGTGCTGCAGGATTTTTTTTAGACTGTGCACACTGACCACACAGACCCATTCTTTCATATGAAGGCCTACCAGCTTTCTCCCACTAGATTTGAGGGCGCTAGAATTTAGGCGTACTAGTACGTCAAAAATCCTGGGTCGTAAGCCGTACTAGTACGTCCGAAACCCTCAAAGGGTTAAAGCAGGGGTTTAGGACATTGGCAGTTTGGAGGGACATCTGAGAGCCTGTGCAAAGACAGTGATTATGTACGAGTGATAGTGAAAGTGTTGAATGATGATGATGAAAGTTTTTTCTTTCTTTTTGGGTTTTCCTTTATTTTTAGGTTACCCTGCCTCGGTGGGAAATGGCCAACATGTTAAAAAATATATATACATATATACCCAGTGGAACCTTGGCTTACAAGTGCCAAACCATACTCAGTTTTTCAGGATATGAGCAGTCACTTGGTAGATTTTTTTGTTTCTGGATACAAGAAAAATTCAGGATGCAAGCTTTCCCCTCAAGAGAGGTTCCTTGATGCTGGTGAGGGGCTCTTGATCTAGGAATTGTATCTGTGCTGCAGTTCCCAAAATTAAAGCTGAATACTACCTTCCATCCCCTCCCCCCCACAGGCGCTGTATAGTCCTACGGGTTTAGCACTTCCCCATTATAATATTCACTAAGTCAGTCAAGTCAGTTAATTAAGTCAGTCAAGCCAATAAGTGAGGGGCTCTTGATCTAGGGAATTGTATGTGCTGCAGTTCCCTAAATTAGCCTGAATACCTTCCATCCCCTCCCCTCACAGGCACTGTATAGTCCTATGGGTTTAGCACTTCCCCATTATAATCAGTAAGTCACTCAGTTAAGTCAGTCAAGTCTCAGTTAAGTCAGTCAGTTAAGTCAGTCAGTCAAGTCAGTCAGTCAGTCAAGTCAGTCAGTCAGACAAGTCAGTCAGTAAGTCAGTCAGTCTGTAAGTCCTTCCAGTCTCGCAAGTCAAACACATTCACAAACACAGCTAGCTTGTAGGAGAGAAGTAGAACTGAACACACATTCAAAAAAGCTGGGATGGTGGTGTCGGGGGATGACAGTGCATCTGGCAGTGGAAGGATTCTCACTTGTCACATGACATATTTCATTCATCATAGTAAGTATAGTCAAGTCTATCTAGCTATTTATATTGTTTATTATGTCATTAGATGAATGTGATAGATAATAGCCGTAGGTAAGACATTCAAAGCAACAGTTAGGCACATTAGTTCCGAACACGATTTCCCAACACAGTAGGCTTTGTCGATACAGAAAGTAGGAGGAACAGTAGAGATGTGAAGACGATTAAACATCATCACCCTGAAGTCGTAGAATTTGAGGTTGTCAGTCCCCACTGGAGAGTTCAGTTCCATAGCAGGAACTATCTTCATTGTCATCCTGACTATGGAACTTGATTACTTCCAGGCTGAGATGACAACTCAATTCTAGACTCAGGTGATGGACTGATTATCTGTCTTCACATCTCACTGTTCCTAGCTACTTTCTGTATTCGACTGAAGAAGCCTACTGTGTAGGCGAAACGTTTCGGAATAAAGTTGCCTAACTGTTGCCTTTGTGTCTTACCTACCAACCTGTCGGTATTTTATACCATTTTGATGTTCATAAATAAGCCACAGAGTTGATATTAGCATCAATTTCAAGTATTTTGTGCTGCCTCCTGAAAGCAGGAATTCCGCTAGAATGGATTAACGTAATTTCAATTAATTTAAATGAGGAAAATTGACTCAGTATACGAGCAGATCGGGATACGAGCAAGGTCACGGAATGAATTAAACTCGTAAGCCAAGGTTCCACTGTATATACAGAGAGAGAACAACAAAGACAGAAATAAAGGTGTTGAAAATAAAACACTAAAAACCTAAATAATAATTAAGGATGCTCTATAATTTGAAGAGTTACACACTGAATACCTAAGCTAAGCACACACACACATACTGATTTTTTTTTTTTTTTTTTTTGTTTGTTTGTTAAAAATCACAAACCTGTGCAGGTTCCTCAGTAGTTTCTGGGTCAGGTCCATAATGAAACTCACGGTGAAGCTTTCCACTATAGAGATCAGCCAAGAAAGACTTCAACTTCCCAGGAACATAAGCCTCGCTATAATCTGCTTTTTGACAAAATTTGTTAATATTAAAAAAAGTGGATTTATCTTTGGGAATGCACTACATTAAAAAAGCTCTTACTAACAGCAACAGTGTGGGCGCGTGGCAATAATACCCAAACGCACAATTAAACCATTTATAACAGGAGATGCTTTGCTACTTGAAGCTTCTTCAATCCAAGAATTGAAATAATGTAATGGAAAAATATCTTGAAACTGAGACATACAGTAGGGCCCCACTTATATGGCAGGTTAGGTTCCAGGCTACCGCCGTAAAGCAGAAATCGCCGTAAAGTGGAACACCCTTTTTTCCACTTATAAACGCATACAAATACTAGATAACAAGTTTACACTAACATATATTAAGTTAACAATAGAACTAGGCATAAAAAAACAATAAAAAAGTACAATACACACATAGTGCACTCATTACTTACACTAAAATATTTAGTCTTAATCTAGGGTGAGACAAGTAGTATTTATTGTAAGAAATCAAGTGTGGTATGTATGGTAGTCAGCCGGGCTACCATACCAGGCCACCCCACCTACACATAATATTCTATTACATTTAAGCATCCCAGAGTGATAAAATGCATATACAGTTTACTAATTACTTACTTTAAAATATTTATAGTCTTAATCTAGGGTGAGATGAGTAGTATTTATTGTAAAAAATCAAGTGTGGTATGTATGGTAGTCAGCCGGGCTACCATACCAGGCCAACCCACCCACACATATATTCTATGATATTTAAGCATCCCAGAGCAATAAAATGTATATATAGTTCACTCATTACTTACCTTAAAATATTTGTAGTCTTAATGTAGGGTCAGGAGTAAGTAAATGAGATAAAACGAATAAATGAGAGAGAAAGAATGAGTGCATGAGAGAGGACAGGTGCAGTTATGTAAACAAACCAGGCAAAGGTAAGTTTTATAAACAAACAAAGTGTACAGGTCTGATTTGTGTACAAGTTACACTGTGTACAGGTTGTCTATACATTGATACGGTAGAATAAATAAAGAAAAACACTCCCATTCTCATGTAACATCATTTTGAGAAGAAATGACGCTCTGAGTGAAGGCACTGGAAATAAGTCAACCTGTCTGACTTTTTTGGGTTATCCCAGGTTCTCTACACATATGCTGTTATGTATGATAATCTATGTAACTGTATTTGTGGCCCGGTGGCCTGGTGGCTAAAGCTCCCGCTTCACACACGGAGGGCCCGGGTTCGATTCCCGGCGGGTGGAAACATTTCGACACGTTTCCTTACACCTGTTGTCCTGTTCACCTAGCAGCAAATAGGTACCTGGGTGTTAGTCAACTGTGTGGGTCGCATCCTGGTGGACAAGATTAAGGACCCCAATGGAAATAAGTTAGACAGTCCTCGATGACACACTGACATTCTTGGGTTATCCTGGGTGGCTAACCCTCCGGGGTTAAAAATCCGAACGAAATCTTATCTTATCTTAACTTACATACATACGAAAGGAATAATTTTCTAGTTACCCACAGTAACACATTTTCTCTTGTGTTAGATTAGAGAAAATGTTATTTTTGGCATCACTTGTACAAGTTATCTGGCTAGGACATCTCATATTTGTTTATTTATTCTATTGTGGGGTGTATTTATCATCTTTATATGTTATGTATCATGTTTATTATATAATTTTGAAAAAAATATCATGGATGGATTAATGAAAATGTGTATATTAACGTAATATACCACATTTAATGAGACTCAGTGATGATGATTATTATTATTTCTAATATGGCGTCACTTGTGCAAGTCGTCTGCTACCACATCTCATATTTATGTTTATTTATTCTACTGTGGGGTGTATTTATCATATTTATATGTTATGTATCGTAAGATTGATTAATGAAAATGTGTATATTAACGTAATATACGACATTTAAATGACTCGGTGATTATTATTATTATTACTAATATGACGTCTGGAGACATAAAACACTTACTGATTTTAATGTGTACCTGCATGCTAGCACAGTATGTAAGTTTATTTAAGTACAGGTATACATAAGTATAATTATCAGAGTATATATAAAATATGAAATAACTTTTAAAAACACTTAAAATTTTGGAGTTTCCAGACATAATGGAGAGATTTAGTGCTTACGGATCTCACAGATAATGTAAACAAACCGGGTGGGGTGCGGTGACCGTATTAGAAAGTCAGGTGGGGGGAGCCGTATAGCGAGTTTTGGTCATAATTTGAAATGACCATATTAGAGGAACGCCATAAAGCGAAACGCCGTAAAGCGGGGCCCTACTGTACAAACAATCAAGACATATGTTGAAGAAGATGGGCAATGTCACAAAACCATATGGAAAAATACAGGAAAAAAACATGCAGAGAAAGTATAATATAATTACTGTACTGGCATACCTAATACAATATTGTATTTCTATTGTAATTAAGTAACTTGCTGTATCTTCACCTCCATTCAATCCCTCCACATAACTGAAGATCATTGAATCAGTTTGAAATAATAAATAATCCCTGTGGAATTGATGCTTTATTCATTAGCTACCTTTCTTATTGCATTTATGAATGTAGTTAATTGCATAAGAACTCCTACTTAACAGTCTATATTTGGATCTTAACCCTTTCAGTAGCTGTCATGTAGAACTACATCACTGAGGCCAGGGTTCCTCACACATTTCTACATCATGAGCTCGGCTCACTCAGATAAGCTGTGAGCTGTAACTTTTTGTCCTAGATATGAGAGAATAAGTCTGTGTTGTGAGAGTGCATAGTTAAAAACAATACTGCCCGTCTTGTTGCATTGGGAAAAGTTGCTATTTTATATCAAACAACGTTAGAAGCTTCTCTTCCCCTTCATGTACCGGGTGTGGCCATATTTTTTTTTTTTTTTACACTGTGCACACTCACCGCATACACCCCCCATTCTCTTGTGTCTAAGTCAAAATTTACTGCTCACAGCATATCTGAGGGCACTGTGCTTAAGAGAGATATACATGAGTGATACTGGCATCAATAATGTAAGTCTACACAAGAGACAGTGAAAAAGTTAATACAGTATACAGTAGGAATTTAATAAATAAAACAAGAAAATACAACTTATTTTTAAATTATCAGAATCATAGCTTACCTGGGAAGAGATACATGTGTCTGAAGGAGTCAATAGCAATGAGTGGAAGGTCTTTTTTTGACTTGCCCAGATGATGAAGGGGGTGAGCAAACTGTACACCATCTGCTGTCAGGAAGTTTACATTTTCTGTAGATAGACAAAGGTATATGATTTGGATAAGCAATCAGCAGACAGCAACCGACCAGGGAGGTACTACTGTCCTGCCAAGTGAGTGTAAAATGGGAACCTATAATTGTTTTACATGATGATAGGATTGCTGGTGTCTCTTTTCTGTCTCATAAACATGCAAGATTTCAGGTACATTTGCTACTTACGCTTAGGTCACACTGCACATACATGTACAAGCATATATATATACACACCCCACTGGATTTTCTTCTATTTTCTTACTGGTTCTTGGTCTTGTTTGTTTCTTCTTATCTCCATGGGAAAATGAAACAGACTTCTTCCTTCATAAGCCATGCGTGTCATAAGAAAGCACTGGGAATTGCAGGCTCTACGCTATGTCTCCTCAGTGATTACCTTCATGCTAGATCTCTAAGAGTAGTTCTCAATGGAACAGAATCAGCAAGACATCCTACTGGGGCAAGTGTTCCACAAGGAAGCGTGCTGGGACTATTGTTATGGAATGCCTACTTCAATGACCTCCTTCATCTCATCCCAGAATCCCATGCATATGCAGATGACTGTACACTGACATTCACTTATCCAAGAGAAGAAATGCCAGCTGCTCTAAGCTACATCAATCACCAGCTACGAGCTATATCAGCTTGGGGAAACAGATGGTAAGTAACATTTGCACCTGAGAAAATGCAAATGATGATGGTCTCTAGGCACCATGATGGTAATGCCAGTACAGTAGTAAGTATGAATGGGAGGGTGTTAGTACCTGGGGAAGAAGTTGATATCCTTGGGGTGAAATCTGACTCCAAAATGACCATGAAGAACCATATTGTAAATCTTGCAAGTAAGGCAGCCAGGAAGCTTACAGCACTTCACCGTATCTTGCATCTGCTTGACAGCAGGGGTTGCAAGATTCTGTATGAGGCACAAGTACACTCAGACCTTGAGTATGCTCCACTTTCTTGGTTTGCCTGGCCCCCCCCCCTCATCTGTGACTGCTTGACAGAGTAGAGAACAGTGCAAGACATCTCATCTCTTGCCTGGACCCATCCTGGATAGATCTGTCATTTCAGCAGAGCCTTCAACACAGGAGGGATGTGGGTGGCCTTACTGTTATGTACAATGCCAATATTATCAAAGTACCACACTTGGATCCACTTCGAGGGCAGTGAGAAGCAAGCTTCTATACCACAAGACGGGCAGAAAGCAGCAACTTCACTCTGGCTGTACCCTTCTCCAGAACATCAATTCATCTGAGATCATTTATTCCCAGGATGGCTCGAGTCTGGAACACATTCATACAGCATTATGATGTCAACAAGATAAAGTCAGTTGATCAAATGAAAATGCTGGCCCACAGATGGCTCCAACTTCATCCTGTTCCCTACTTGTATGTTTCGTAACAATAAAAATACTTGCATGTTTCATAACAATAAAAAAATGCTTTCAAATGAGCTCATGTAGGTAACAGTTCTTAGCTTGTCAATAAAGATAGGGATCCTTAACCAAACCTTGTCAAACCCTGTGTAAAAAAAAAAAAAAAAAAAAAAAAAAAAAAAAAAAAAAAAAAAAAAAAAAAAAAAGAGGCAACTAATATGCCGGGAGCGAGGGGCTAGTAACCCCTTCTCCTGTATAAATTACTAAATTTAAAAAGAGAAACTTTTTTTTCTTTTTGGCCCACCCTGCTTCAGTGAGATACGGTCGGTTTGTTGAAAGAAAGAATACAAGCACATGACCTTCTCTTACTTAAAGAAATCATTTAATAACCTGTAGTCTTTGTTTAAACACTGAAAATCAATATACAAGCAATTAAACTTTTGCATTTTAAAATCCATTAAAAGTAGTTTCTCACTTACGTTTTTCATCAGCAAGTTCTGCCTGTACAAGGGCTGTGTATTTCTTGATGGTCTCAGTATCATCAGGTGCGTGAAAAAGTATCAAAAACGGCAGCCCTTCCTCTGTTAATTCTTCTGCATTCTGAAATTAATTATGCACATTGAGTATATTTTTTATTATCTTAATAGCCAAAATCTTTTAACATGTCCCCTTTACATATTTCACCCATTACCACCCTATTTTGGGTCATAGAAGTGATGGATCCAATCATGCTGTAATAGAGTTTAATGATATATTCAGAGAAATTTTTTATCAAGTCAATGAATCATGGTTTTCATGATTCATGGGTTTCATGATTAATCAGTTTCCAAAATTCTGACAAAAACCGAATTGTACGAAAACTGAAGCAATATTTCCAATAAGAAATAATGTAAATCCAATTAATCCGTTCCAAACGTCCAAAAATATTAACAAAAAATACATTTTATAGATAAAAACTATAGTTTTACATACAAAAAACAATGAGAAATAAATGACTAATGAAATGGATAAATGAACATTTAACATCGCTTTAACCTTTATTGAAGACTCTTGTTAATGTACAGAAGTCGGCTGAAGGGGAGAGGGAGGTGGAGGAGGAGACACTATTGTTTGGAGGGAATTCCCTTCCATAAGAACTTCAGGTATCAAGGCCCTATCCAGGGTTACTTGCCTTCTTTGTCTTTTACTGGCACTAGGGCCAGCTTGAGAGTTGCTGTACCCCTGTCACACAAAAAATCTGTCCAGAGAGGTCTGTTTCTGGTGTATCTTTAAGATTTGCCTAAAATGGGACAAGGCATTGTCATTGAACATGCTGTAGACACAGCTTGCAACAGCTTTGTTAGGGTGATATTACTCCACAAAACTTTGCAACTCGCTCCACTTTGCACACGTCCTTAATCACTGAAGAAGGCACATTCTCCCCTCTCTCTTCCTCCTCCTCTGAAGCAATTTCCTCAGCTGATGTCTGTTGCTGTTCCAGTTGAAGGTCTTGCAGCTCTTCAGTGGTTAGCTCTTCCCTGTGGTCATCCACCAACTCTTCCAAATCCTGGCCACTCACATCCAACCCCATGGATTTTCCCCGACACAATAGATTCCACAATAGGCAGAGGGTCGTCAGGGTCAGCTTCAAACCCTTCAAAATCCTTCTTGAGGACACATTCTCGCCACAATTTCTCCAAGCAGAGTTCATCGTCCTGGAAGTCACTCCCTGGCAAGCCTTATCTATAAGGCTTATGCAATTGAGTATACTGAAGTGATTCCTCCAGAACTCTCTTAGGGTCAATTCAGTGTCTGAGGTCACTTAAAAGCACCTTTGAAACAGTGCTTTGGTGTAGAGTTTTTTAAAGTTTGAAATGACCTACTGGTCCATGGGCTGGATGAGAGGAGTGGTATTAGGGGGGCAAGAACTTCACTGTGATGAAACTAAACTCCTCCATCAACTGGTCTTCCAAGCCTAGAGGATGAGCAGGAGCACTGTCCATTACCAGGAGGCACTTGAGTGGCAACTGATTTTCCAGGAGGTATTTCTTCACACTTGGGCCAAACACTTCATTGATCCATTCAATGAAAATTTGCCTTATGACCCATGCCTTATTGTTAGCCTTCCACATTACACACAATTTATTCTTGATGACATTGTTTTTCTTGAACACTCAGGGTTTTTCAGTGATACACCAGTAAAAGCTTCACTTTGAAATCCCCACTAGCATTACCACAGAACAAAAGTGTTAGCCTATCTTTCATAGGCTTGTGTCCTGGCAGCGCCTTTTCCTCCTGCGTGATGTAGGTCCTCTTTGGCATTTTCTTCCAAAAGAGGCCTGTTTCATCACAACTGAAGGCTTGTTGAGGGAGGAATCCTTCAGCCTCTACGTACTCCTTGAATTCATCAACGAATTCTTTGGCCCCATGTTTGTCCAAACCTGCAGCCTCGTCATGCCTTACCACACTGTGTACGCCAGTCTATTTCTCAAATTTGTTGAATCAACCTCTGCTGGCCTTAAATTCATTACGAGCAGCACTCGTTCCAGGCATTTTCTTTGCAAGATCTGCATGCAACTGCCGTGCCTCTTCGCAAATTATTGCCTCCAAAACACTATCTCCTGCTAACTGTTTTTCATTGATCCACACCAACAACTTCTCAGCATCTTCAATTGTTTGCAATCTCTGCTTCGTTAGCACATTTACCCTTTTGCAACATCAGCTTCTTTGATTTCTTTTTTCTTCGCCAGGACAGAATTGATTGTTGATGCAGACTTCTCGTACATCCTGGCAAGATCGGCCACACGTACGCCACTTTCACACTTTGCTACAAGTTCTTTCTTGAATTCTATCGTGTTTCTCACCTTCTTTATCAAAAGGCTGGCACTTGGAACTTTCTTTGGCCACATGGTGGCTAATTTAGCAGTCGCGCTCAATAAACAAGCACAAAAGACAATGGATTACTGTGAAATGTTTCGGATAAATGTGCGGGGTGATGCTCACTCAACGAGAAACAAAGGCAAACCGAGTCCGAACACATGGGATGCTTTGTGTCGGCACTTGAGTGGCCGAGTCATGTGGACACTTTTGTTACGGACCATTTTCAACTCTACGAAAACTGAGTGGATATACGAAAACTGGGACAAAATTCTGACGAAAAAAGTCATCAAAAAACGAATCCTACGAAAACTGGGGCATATGAAAACCGGGGTTCCATTGTATTATATTCCTAGACTTGAATAATTTAAATAATTAAACAAACAAATTTAACACTCCGGCTGTCTCCCACAGAGATAGGGTGACCCACAAAGAAGAAAACACTTTCACTGTTACTCATGCAATCACTTGTCTTGCCAGAGGGACACCAACATCACAGTTCATGACCCTCCAAACTGCAACATCCCCTCCCTGCCAGAGTGCAGCATTGTACTTCCCACCTCCAGGACTCAAGTCTGGCTAACCAGATTCCCTGAATCCCTTCATAAATGTCACTTTCCTCATACTCTAACAGCATATCAAATCATAAATACCACTTGCCTCCACTCACTTCTATCTAACATGCTCACACAAACGAACTGTTTACAATAATTATTGGGGCAAAAATATAGTGATGGCAATAAGTGCATGAGTATGAATGCTAATTTGGGCTAAATAAACATGGTGCAAAACACTGTCATGTAGGGCCACACCATCTCTCTTCACCTCTTTAAAAATCATCAACATACACCAGCAGCCAGAATTTAAGGTAAGAAATATTATTCATGTACTGTATTAACCCTTTAACTGTCAAACCGTAAATTTACTGTTATGTACAAGGCCAATATTGTCAAAGTACCACACTTGGATGCACTTCAAGGACAGCGTGAAGCAAGCTTCTATACCACAAGACGGGCAGAAAGCAGCAACTTCACTCTGGCTGTACCCTTCTCCAGAACATCACTTCATCTGAGATCATTTATCCCCAGGATGACTCGAGTAGGGAACACATTCATACAGCATTATGATAACAACATAGTCAGTTGATGAAATGAAAATGCTGGCCCACAGATGGCTCCAACTTCATCCTGTTCCCCACTTGTATGTTTCATAACAATAAAAGGTAACAACCTAGGTAGTAGGTTGGTAGACAGCAACCACCCAGGGAGGTACTACCGCCCTGCCAAGTGAGCGTAAAACCAAAGCCTGTAATTGTTTTACATGATGGTAGGAGTGCTGGTGTCCTTTTCTCTGTCTCATAAACATGCAAGATTTCAAGTACATCTTGCTACTTCTGCTTACACTTAGGTCACATTACACATACATCCCACCAAGGCAGGGTGGCCCAAAAAGAAAAACAAACATTTCTCTTATTAAATTTAGTAATTTATACAGGAGAAGGGGTTACTAGCCCCTTGCTCCCGGCATTTTAGTCGCCTCTTACAAAACGCATGGCTTACGGAGGAAGAATTCTGTTCCATTTCCCCATGGAGATGAGAGGAAATAAAGAACAAGAACTAGACAGAAAACAGAAGAAAACCAAGAGGGGTGTGTATATATATGCTTGTACATGTATGTGTAGTGTGACCTAAGTGTAAGTAGAAGTAGCAAGATGTACCTGAAATCTTGCATGTGTATGAGACAGAAAAAAAGACACCAGCAATCCTACCATCATGTAAAACAATTACAGGTTTCCATTTTACAATCACTTGGCAGGACGGTAGTACCTCCCTGGGCAGTTGCTGTCTACCAACCTACTACCTATACACATACATATACAAGCATATATATACACACACCCCTCTGGGTTTTCTGCTATTTTCTTTCTGGTTCTTGTTCTTGTTTATTTCCTCTTATCTCCATGGGGAAGTGGAACAGAATTCTTCCTCCGTAAACCATGAGTATTATAAGAGGCGACTAAAATGCCAGGGGCAAGGGCCTAGTAACCCCTTCTCTTGTATAAATTACTAAATTTAAAGAGAAACTTTTGTTTTTCTTTTTGGGCTACCTTGCCTTGGTGGGATATAACTGGTTTGTTGGAAAAATAAAAAAAAAAGGTAATAGCTCTTAGCTTGTCAATAAAGCTAGGAATCCCTAACCTGTAAATAGCTTGTCAATAAAACTAGGGATCCTTAACCCTTTCAGGGTCCAGAGGCCAAATTTCAAAGTGTGCACCAGCGTCCAAGAATTTTCAAAAAATAATTTTGTTATTTTTTCTTAAGAAATGGTAGATAATCTTTTTCTGAAGGTAATAAAACAAAAAGTACGAAATTTGATGAAAAATTTACAAAATTATAAGAACATAAGAAAGGAGGAACACTGCAGGAGGCCTGTTGGCCCATACTAGGCAGGTCTTTTAAAATTCATCCCACTAACAAAACATTTGCCCAACCCAATTTTCAATGCTACCCAAGAAATAAGCTCTGATGTGAAAGTCCCACTCAAATCCAACCCCTCCCACTCATGTACTTATCCAACCTAAATTTGAAACTACCCAAAGTCCCAGCCTCAATAACCCAACTAGGTAGACTGTTCCACTCATCAACTACCCTATTTCCAAACCAATACTTTCCTATGTCCTTTCTAAATCTAAACTTATCTAATTTAAATCCATTACTGCGGGTTCTCTCTTGGAGAGACATCCTCAAGACCTTATTAATATCCTTTTTTTAATACCTATCTTCCATTTATACACTTCGATCAGGTCTCCCCTCATTCTTCGTCTAACAAGTGAATGTAACTTAAGAGTCTTCAATCTTTCTTCATAAGGAAGATTTCTAATGCTATGTATTAATTTAGTCATCCTACGCTGAATGTTTTTTTAACGAATTTATGTCCATTCTGTAATATGGAGACCAGAACTGAGCTGCATAATCTAGGTGAGGCCTTACTAATGATGTATAAAGCTGCAGTATGACCTCTGGACTTCTGTTGCTTACACTTCTTGATATAAATCCCAGTAATCTATTTGCCTTATTACGTACGCTTAGGCATTGCTGTCTTGGTTTAAGGTTGCTGCTCACCATAACCCCCAAGTCCTTTTCGCAATTGTATGGCTAAGTTCTACATCATTTAACTTATAAGTACTAGGGTTATGGGCACTCCCAAGCTTCAGAACCTTGCATTTATCTACATTGAACTGCATCTGCCACTTTTCTGACCAAGAATAGAGTTTGTTTAAATCCTCCCGAAGTTCCATAACATCTACGTTTTTAATCAATTATCCTACCTATCTTTGTGTCATCGGCGAATTTGCTCATATCACTAGTAATTCCCTCATCAAGATCATTGATACATATTATAAACAACAACGGGCCCAAGACTGATCCCTGTGGAACGCCACTTGTTACAGATCCCCACTCGGATTTACCCCATTTATGGACACTCTCTGCTTCCTGTCAGTGAGCCATGACTCGATCCACGAGAGCACTTTTCCCCCAATGCCATGAGCTGCCACTTTCTTTAACAGTCTATGGTGCGGAACTCTATCAAAAGCCTTACTAAAATCTAAGTAAATAATATCAAATTCTTTATCGTGGTCAACAGCCTCAAAAGCTTTACTGAAGAAAGTTAATAAATTAGTTAGACAAGACCGGCCTCTTGGAATCCATGCTGAGTATCATTAATCAAGCTATGCTTATCGAGATGGCTTCTTATAATCTCAGCTATAATTGACTCTAGTAATTTGCCTACAATTGAGGTCAGGCTTATTGGGTGGTAATTTGACGGTAACGACTTGTCCCCTGTTTTGAAAATAGGAATTACATTAGCCATCTTCCACATATCAGACACTACACCTGTTTGAAGAGATAAATTAAAAATATTAGTTAATGGTTCACAGAGTTCCATTTTGCATTCCTTAAGAACCCTTGAAAAAACCTCATCAGGACCCGGCGACTTATTTTGCTTCAGTCTGTCTATCTGCTTCACAACCATTTCACTAGTGACTGTGATGTTACATAATTTATCTTCTTCTAGCCCACTATAAAAATTAATTACTGGAATATTGTTAGTGTCTTCCTGTGTAAAAACTGAGAGAAAATAATTATTAAAAATCGAGCACATTTCATTCTCTTTGTCAGTAAGGTGCCCATAGTTAATTTTAAGGGGACCTATCTTATCTCTGACTTTTGTTTCTATAGACCTGGAAAAAACTTTTTGGGTTAGTTTTAGAATCTCTAGCAACTTTAATTTCATAGTCCCTTTTAGCTTTTCTTATCCCCTTTTTAATGTCCCTCTTAATGTCAATATACTGATTCATAAGATGACCCTCACCTCTTTTGATACGCCTATAAATTCCTTTCTTATGCCCTAGTAGATATTTCAGCCTATTATTCATCCATTTTGGGTCATTTCTATTTGATCTAATTTCTTTATATGGGATAAACGTTCTTTGAGCAACATGTATAGTGTTCTCGCAAATTTTGATGTGTCAGTGATATTTATGCATCAGCGATTTTGCCGACTCTGACTCCCATTTTAGGCCAATTACCTTATTCCAGTTGACCAAATTCTTAGTTATTTCACTAGTATTACTTCTATTCTATCGAATGAGGACAAGAAATCGCCAACTCAACCGTTTCAACTACAAAATAAAGGTTGGAAATTGGTAATTTGGCCAATTTAGTGAAAAGTTCAAAATATTCCAATTTCGAAATAGGGTCCAGAATAAACAATGCAGGCATTCCTGGCACTAAACTAACATTTCCTCTGTTCATTAGTTTCGTTTTCAGACTTTACAAATGAATTCCATTTTGATTTTTAATTCACATAATGAATTTTTATTCAAACCAAAAAATAGAAGATTTACTGTCATGCAATATTATAATAATTGTATAAATAATATCAGCACATTTGTGAACGTATATTAGACCCGCCAGCTGGTGTGTATTAGATGTGTGAGATCATTTGTTTCCTCTTGAACATTGGCAAAAATTTAACATTTCCACTACTTTGAGCTCAGTTTCAAGCCATTTTCAGTACTAAAACCAATCAAAATCATCTCTATTTCTGTAATATATCTTCCATTCTATCAAATGAGACCAAGAAATTGCAAATACAACTATAAAAAACATACGAAAAAACACTGCAAAGTTGCTGTTTTAATAAAAAATTACGGTCTCGGTTTTTTCTCTCGTTGTGCACTCTGTGCTGCAGGATTTGTTTTATGTCGTAAACACATACCACATAGATGTATTCTCTCATATCTAGGCCCAAATTTACCGCTCGCAGCTTATCAGAGTGAGCTGAGCTCGTGGCGTAGATCTATGGTTTGGACCCTAAACGTAAAGCCGTAGATCTACGGCACAGACCCTGAAAGGGTTAACCTTGTCAAATCCTGCATAAAAAAGAGAGAGAGAGAGAAAAGTTATATCGGCATTTCTGCAAGCCACAAGATTCCACCTTCCCGTCACTTGAGCATCCAGTGTTAACTTCATAGCCTTCTATCTTGGTAAGCAATGACCCTGTTTTTTTTTTTTTTTATACAAAAAATGTATTTGTTTTATTTCAAAATATTCAGAGTGCTAGCAGAGATCAATGCCATGACAGATAAAGGGTTCAATATAATGTATCATTCAATCCAATTACAGTTACATTATTTTATTATTTTACAACTATGAGGCCTAAAAAAATTTGTTTGCCATTTTTGGGGACTCCCATGAATGTAACCCTACTTTACTCACATGTTCTTCAGTTCATTTTGCATGACTTCTTTTTATTTACACACCATTTACAATTAACCATGTTAATCGAAGGTTAACCGTACCTAATTAATAGAGCAAAATCCACAAGATTTTCCCAATAAGGATAGTTAACAGTTTACTACACAGCCCTGATGGTCAGTAGGTAGAAACTCACCTGGAATGTGATTTCCCGCACAAGGGGAATGCATCTCTCTGTAGCCCAAATGGAAACTTCATCGTAGGATAAGAGAGAGCCAGTAAAAGCATCATCTTCTTTAGTTATGGAAGCCTTAAATGCAATGATACTTTCCCCAGGTGGATGCATACTGCGTACTACATCTCTGTAACAGTAAAGTAAAGTTTATTTCTCTGTAAATGTTACAATGTGTAATTACAATTTTGATTTACTAAGTACAAAGATTGCCACTATCATGCCAAAGCATTTCGGGCAAACTAATCCTAATACATAGTAACTAATTAAAACTAGATAAGATAATAGTACATAGTAACTATACTTAAAACTAGACAAGGAATAGTGGTTAGCTGTTTTACAATCTATTTAAACTTAATACAATCTTATTTAAACTTAGTACAAGTGAGTAGGGTTCTGTAAAATAAGCTTGAAATTGCACTCAAAATCTACCTTACAAGTACAGTGGACCCCTGGTTCGTGAGAGCTCATCATAAACCAAAATTATAGGAAAGCGAATCAATTTTCCCCATAAGAAATAATGGAAATCAAATTAATTCGTGCAAGACACCCAAAAGTATGAAAAAAAAACTTTTACCACATGAAATATTACGTTTAATGCAATAGAATAATTACAATAACAACAATAACAATAGAATAACAATAGAATAATTGACACTTACCTTTAATGAAGATTGATGATTGATGGGATGGAAGGAGGGGAGTGTCGAACTTATTGTTTAGAAGGGGAATCCCCCTCCATTAGGACTTGAGGTAGGAAGTCCTTTTCCGGGGTTACTTCCCTTCTTCTTTTAATGCCACTAGGACCAGCTTGAGTCACTGGACTTCTGTCACACAACATATCTGTCCATAGAGGCCTGTACCTCTCGTTCCTTTATGACTTTCCTAAAGTGGTTCACAACATTGTCAGTGTAATAGTCACCACCACGGCTTGCAATAGCTGTGTTAGGGTGATTTTCATCCATAAAGGTTTGCAGTTCAACCCACTGTGCACACATTTCCTTAATTTTTGAAGTAGGCACAATGGATTCCACAACTGGCAAAGGCTTCTCAGGGTTAGCCCCAAACCCTTCAAAATCTTTCTTAATTTCCATACTAATTCTCACCCTTTTTACCACAGGGTTGGCACTAGAAGCTTTCTTGGGGCCCATGGTGACTTATTTTGCAGAAACAAGCACCAAAAACAGTGATAATATGGATAATATGGAATGTACCGAATGTATCCTTAGATGCGCGCACACTGGCTGGCTTCTAAACACTGGCACACACGGGGCAGTTCAGGCCACATGTGGACACGTCTCGTACGAATCGTATCGCCTACTGGTTTTGTAACGGGAACCGAGGCAAATTTTTTGCGATATAATGCATCGCACACCGGATTTATCGGATACCGATAGCAACGCGAACCGGGGGTCCACTAATGGTGCAGGTGGTAATATTTTATGGAATGGCAGAATTAAAAGCCAGGAGGTCACATGATAAGACTAATTAGCAGATGTTTTGGCAGATTTGGTTAATATTGAGAAATAAGATGATTTTATTCTAGGTAGTAGGTTGGTAGACAGCAACCGCCCAGGGAGGTACTACCGTCCTGCCAAGTGAGTGTAAAGCTGAAGCCTGTAATTGTTTTACACGATGGTAAGATTGCTGGTGTCTTTTTTTTATCTGTCTCATACACATGCAAGATTTCAGGTATGTCTTGCTACTTCTACTTACACTTAGGTCACACTACACATACATGTACAAGCATATATATACACACCCCTTTGGGTTTTCTTCTATTTTCTTTCTAGTTCTTGTTCTTGTTTATTTCCTCTTACCTCCATGGGGAAGTGGAACAGAATTCTTCCTCCGTAAGCCATGCGTGTTGTAAGAGGCGACTAAAATGCCGGGAGCAAGGAGCTAGTAACCCCTTCTCCTGTATATATTACTAAATGTAAAAGGAGAAACTTTCGTTTTTCCTTTTGGGCCACCCCGCCTCGGTGGGATACGGCCGGTGTGTTGAAAGAAGAAGAAAGATGATTTTATGGATTGGAAGAATTAAGGGCCTAGAGGTCACATAATAAAACTAGTTAGCAGATGTTTGATTGATATGGTTAATATTGTGAGATAAGATGATTTTTTAGCAAAGTCCTAAATTTATAAGCTGTCAGGGGATCCTTGACCTGTTCCAGTAGCAAGTTCCAGATCTTCGGGCCTTTAAATGCATAGCGTTCTTGCATAGTGAGAGTCTGACTCGAGGGATGTTGAGAAGTGCCTTATGCCTTGTATTGTGCTTGTGCATTCTTTTGAACGTAAAGGGAAAATTTTTTTAGGGGGGGTTTACAGGAGTTTAATGTTCTGTATATGTTAGACAAAAAATGGGTTTTATGTCTTGATTTTTAGCAATTTGAGTCTTGAAATGGGGGGGTGGGCTGTCAGCACGGAGCTGGTTATCACCCCACAGCAGTTTTTTTTTGGGATTTTTAAACCCTTTTAGGGTCCAAGGCCCCAAATCGGGAGTCACCACCAGTGTCCAAGAATTTTCCAAAAAAAAATTGTTTATTTTTTCTTATGAAATGTAGAGAATTTTTTTTGTAAAAGGTATAAAACAAAAAGACAAAATTTGGGGGAAAATTGACAAATTTGCCCGCGAATTTTGATTTCACGAATTTACGAATGGGCGATTTTGCCGATTTGACCCCCCATTTTGGCCCAAATTTACATTTTTCCAACAACCAATTCTTAGCTATTTCACAGTTTTTCTTCTTTTCTATCGATTGAGCACAAAAAAAACCCCAAGTCAACTTTTTTTCAACTCAAAATAAAGTGATCGGAAATTGTTTAATTTGGCCAAATTTTAACCCAAAAATTTAAAAAATTTTCCAAATTTCAAAATAGGGTCGAATAACAATGTAGGCACCCCGGCACTAAACTAACATTTCCTCTGTTCATTAGTTATTTTTTTGAGGCTTTACAAAAAAATTTCCCCATTTTGTTTTTTATTCAATAATGAATTTTTTTTCCCCCAAAAAATAGAAGATTTACTGTTATGAAAACTGTAATAATTGTAAAAATACATCCCAATTTGTGAATGTATATAACCCCCCAGCTGATGTGTATTAGCCCCATGTGAGGTGTTTTTTACTCTTGAATATCGGCAAAAATTTAACATTTCCGCTACTTTGAGCTCGTTTCAAGCCATTTCCAATGCAAAAACCAATCAAATCATCTCTTTTTTGTAATATGTCTCCTTTCTATCAAATGAGCCCAAGAAATCGCAAATTATTTTTTTTTTTTTAACCCCCAACCGGCCGACCCCACCAAGGCGGGGGGCCCCCCAAAAGAAAAATTTTCACCATCATTCACTCCATCACTGTCTTCCCAGAAGGTCCCTTACACTAAGTTTTTAAACGCAACATTAAACCCCCCCTTCAAGTGCAGGCATTACTTCCCACTCCAGGACTAAAGTCCGGCCTCGGTTCCCTGATCCCTTCAAAAATTTTACTTTCTCACACCCCAACACACGTCAATTTAAAAACCATTTGTCTCCTTTCACTCCATCAAACACGCTCAAGCAGCCGCTGGAAGTCCAACCCCTGCACACAAAACCTCCTTCCCCCCCTCCCCCCAAACCCTTTCCCTGGGCCGCCCCCTACCCCCCCTCCTTCCACACGACTGATACACTCTTGAAGTCATTCTTTTTCGCTCCATTCTCTCTACATGTCCAACCACCTAAAAACCCTTCCTCCCCCTCGGGACAACATTTTGGTAACCCGCACCTCCCCCTAACTTCCAACAAAGAATTCTCTGCATTTTTTCCACCACCATTGCCTAAACACCCCTTTCCACTGCCCAGCCTTCCCTCGCTGCAACATTCATCACCCCCCTTTCACACCCAAAAGAGCGGGTAAATTATCTCATACTTTCCCCCTCTTTGCCTAAAGGGGAAAAAGTTCTTTGTCTCCACAATCCTAAGTGCACCCACCTCTTTTTCCCCATCAATTCTTGATTCCCCATCTTTATAGCCCCATCCGCTGACACTCCACTCCCAAAATCTAAATACTTCACCCCCCATATCTCTCCCCCCAATCTGTTTTAAATCTTTCATCACCTAATCTTTTTGTTATCCTCTAACCTTTCTCTTTCCTGTATTCACCTTTTAAATTTTCTTCTTTTTTCACACCCTAAAACCCAAAATTATCCACCAATCCTGCAATTCTCTTCAAAAATCCCAAAGCACAGTGCATCAGCAAAGGCAGCGTGACAATCCCCCTTTGTGTGTATTTTTATCTTTTAACTCCAAAGCCTCTTTCCCAAAACCCTCGCTTTTATTCTCTTACAAAACCCCCTAAAATATTAAACAAACCCCGGTGACATACAATCCTTGTCTAAGGCCTACTTTTTCTGGGAAAAAATTTCCCTCTTCCCACATACCTAACTTGAGCCTCATATCCCGTAAAAAATCTTCACTGCTTTTGTAACCTACCCCCTACACCATACACTTGCAACATCGCCACATTCCCCCAAACCACCCGTCATAGCCTTTTCCAAAACCCCTAAACCCCCAAAGACCTCTTTACCTTTTTAAAAATGTTCACTTTTATGTTTTACGAAACACCCGGTCCACACACCCCACCTTTCCTAAAACTCCTTTTTCATCTGCTATCCCTTTTTCCGCTACTCTTAATTTTTCAATTTTAACTCTACCATACATAACCGGGAAACCAACAACTTACCCCCTATAATTTTTGCACTCTCTTTTTTTTCCCCTTTTCCTTTATAAAGGGAAATATGATGCTCTCTGCCATCCCCAGAACCTTAAAACCCCTTCCAACATTTATTAAAAAATTCACCAAACCCCTCCAAAAAAATTTCCCCCCCTGCTTTTTTAAAATTTTATCTTTTCCCATCAATCCCGGTGCCTTACCCCCCTTCATTTTACCTACTCCCCACGAACTTTCCCCCCCACTCAAACGGGTCTTCCCCTCCTAAAAGTGTTATTCCCCCTTTCCCTATCACGAAATCACAGCTTTCCCCATCTTCTCAAAATTTAACAATTCCCCAAAATTTCCCTTCCATCTTCCCAATACTCTAACCCCATTTTTAATCTCCTCTCCTATTTTTAAATGACAAATCCTTTGTTCTCTA